AGTCGCCCAAAGCCAACACCACTTTCTGGATCTGTTGGGCCAACTCGCGGGTCGGCGCCAGTATAAGGGCCTGACATTCGTTAAGTGATGTATCGATTTGTTGGAGAATAGCGATCGAAAAGGTGGCAGTTTTGCCGGTTCCCGACTGCGCCTGAGCTATCACATCCATTCCTACACCACAAACACAGTTAACCCAATCAGTCATTCCACTCAACCATACAATCAGTTCAGACATACCTTTAATACAGGGAATGATAGCTCTCTGTTGAATGGCTGACGGCTTCTCAAAACCGTAAGCATAGATACCTCTCAGCAATTCTTCTCTGAGGTTCATGTCATCGAAATTGGAGACAATTTCATCCCAATTGCTCTGTATTTAGTAATAAGCGCTCATTTAGTAATGGGAAAAGAGTGAACCGGAAGTGGTGTCACAAACCTCAATAACACCATCGGGATCCATTCCCTGGGGTCTGTCTTCGCCGTATTCCTGGTTATCCTGTTCGCCATCGCGGGGACGATTGTCATCGCGCGGCCCATTCCTGCAGACAATACGTCAATCATTACCACAATTAACTCATTCATAACATGTGCTCTCAATAGGCATTCAATTCAATGTCAAGCCATCACTCTTTGACATTCAAACCTCATTTCACACCTTTTGGCCGCAAATCAGTGTTCAATGAGATTAAGTGTCAAATGAATGGCAAGAATGGTGTGAGAGGTGTCCGAAGAGGACAATAGCGGTCAAGACATGCATTAGAGGGGACGCCATGTTTGCAGTGGTGGCAGAGCTGGCAGTCTATGCCTAAGGCTTATGGCATGTCTTTCGTACACCAATAAAACCATTCATTTCACACATTATTTGTTAAATACAATCAAATCAAGCGATTGTGGGCTAAATCATGTGTGGATTGAGACATCAATGTATGGATTAAATGACATACCGATCATCAAAAGCAGAGGACATATTAAGACTTGTGCTAACTATCAGTCAATTACTCAATCACTTCAATGACTCGTTTCAGTCAATGCTTTCGCAGCACAAGTCAACCCACAATGCCTTCACTCCCGGACCACACATACACGACGTCCACATTCACGACCTAACCCTCACTACCCCTCTCTGCCCCTCTCTCTCCCTCCCAATCCCTCTCACCTCCACTTCACTCACAACTTTCAGTCACTATTTTAACATATATTAGCCTTTAATTGTAGTTTTGGCTAAATATTGACCACAATTAGTGTATTTGATGTGATTTGATGTGTAATGAATGTATGGGTAATGAAAGGACGTAATGGATGGCAAACTGTGCGATAGTCGCGACCCAAGTGTTTGTACTCTGCATACAATACCGGTGTCTAAAATGCTTCCACAGTTTGTCATCACATTAAGGGACCATTCATTCAATGCGTTCAACAAAAAAGTTCACTATTTTTTCATAAAACTTCGAATATTTGATTAAAGTTATCGTTTTTATCAAAACTTTTGGCCGCAATATTGTCTCAATTGAACAGTTGTTTCATTTGGTAATCAAATCAAGTTTTAATAACATTATTGTATTTAAGTATAATTTAAGTGGTTTTTTATACTGAATTGAAGGGATTGGATGAGCATAACTGAAAATAAGCATGGCTATAATTTTGGCATCATATCACAATGATATTGGTTGAGAAATATGTTCTAGGTGAATTAATGATATTGGTACAATGTCACAACACATGATGTAAATTAATAGTAGATAAGTGTATAGAAAGTTCTCAAACATGACAACTATGTTATATCTATTAAGATATAATAAAATAGTGATTATATTTGTGTCGATTGTCTGCTATTTGGTGTCACTTCGGTCTGAGTTTGTCTTCGACGACACCGAAGCCATACTCAACAACAAGGATGTGATGAGTGATACAACTTTGAGTCAAGTGTTTGCCAACGATTTCTGGGGCACAACAATCACACATAACTCCAGCCACAAGTCTTTCCGACCCCTCACTGTCCTCACCTTCAGATTCTTAAGACGTTTGGATCAATTGATTTACTCGACAACTGATCCAACCATTGAAAGCCCAATAAATGCCTATTTATTTCACTTATCAAACGTTATATTGTATGCGCTTTTAAATTGTCTACTCTTTCATGTGTTGAATAAACTTTTGAACATTTTTTGCGCTAAACTTCAAACTTTTGATAAACAAAAGCCTTTGGAAGTGAACGAAAGAAATGCATTCTTAGCGACAATTGTGTTCACTTGTCATCCAATCCATTCCGAAAGTGTATTGTATTCAAGCATTTAATGCTAAATATGATTATAATTGAGTGATTGTCATACCATTGTTCAGGTGTGCGCTTGTGTTGGTTTGGCTGATCTTTTATCATCACTGTCTGCGTTGACCGTATTATTAGTTTACGTCGAGTTTACAACTTTGATTCATAAATGNCCATTGTTCAGGTGTGCGCTTGTGTTGGTTTGGCTGATCTTTTATCATCACTGTCTGCGTTGACCGTATTATTAGTTTACGTCGAGTTTACAACTTTGATTCATAAATGTGAAATGTGTAAGTATTTGACCATCATTTATATAGTCGACAATCACAGTATGATTGCATAATATGAGTCATCTTTACGTTTCAGTTACGTTTGGTATGAATTGCTTTGCGATTATAAGTTTATCTGCAATGGGAATGCTTTTCAAAGAGCAGGGCATCACTCTTATAGTTAGTGTGAACTATTTGTATACTATTTCAAGTTGACTCCAAAGCACTTAACTAATGGCATATTTTATTCACACAATTATTGTTTTCATTAAATAGGGTTTATGTCTAATACTTGACATAATTCTTATATGTGACCGAAAATACAATATTTGCACCAAAGCACTAATATATAGGATAGTATTGTTAAGTATTGGCACTGTTTTGGTGCTATTATTGAGAGGAATAGTCATGAACTTCAGTGGACCTCAATTCCAAAGAGGAGACAATCCGTCATCATTTG